ATTGTTTTAAAATATTGTAGACAAAGACAATGTTGAGGGGCAAAGAGTTCATGTATAACAGGTGGCTGTGAATAACGGGCAGTGTAGTGTAGATGTGGATGTGCATGAAGTTTAATATGATGCTGATGACGGGCAGTGTGGTGTAGATGTGGATGTGCACGTTGTATAATATGATGCTGATGACGGGCAGTGTAGTGTACATGTGGATGTGCAAGTAGTAAACTATGATGCTGATGACGTGCAGTGTGGTGTTGATATGAGTGGCATGTTCTGTGCTGTTCACGTTGAAGTCTAGTTGTGTGGTGTGGATGTTAATGATGTCTAAAGCGGCTTAGACTCATGAGAGTAGATTGTGTTGTGGGTGTGTGCTAAAATGGAATTTTTTAATTACTAGATAAATAACCGGTTGAGGGAGAAATACAACAGGCGCTAGATTGATTGTGTTGCCTTTTTTTCTATACTGAAACCAAAACCGAAAAGAACTTTCATCTCGACAAAGTCCAGAGAGTAATCGTGGTCTGTATCGCTATTCCAGTGAACTCTATTTCTATTAACAAGGCTACCCCATTCATCGTTGATATTACCATAGTGATAATCTCCATACTACCAGCCACGTCTGTCTATCGCACAATTTTTGATGATCTGTCGTTATCAGAGTCAATGGTTGTAAAATTGACTCAGTATTTATTTTTGATAATATTTAAAATCTACTAAGTATAGGTTAAGGGAATAATTATTTGAACAACAAGAAATTAAATAAAAAAGATAAAACTCTTAATTTTGCAAAATTCTTTAATATTAAACTTGCAAATAAATGCATATATTTTTAATCAGAGTTTCTTCCAGGCATCTCTTCAAGGGGGGGGGGGGGGGGCAAAGCCCCCCCGAAATTTTTTATCGCCCCCCCCCCCCCGAACGAAATGAAATTTATATGATTTATATAGAAAATATATATTTTTAACAGTGTCCGCTCCCCCCCCCCCCCCATGAAAATTTCAAGTGCCCCCCCCCCTGGAGAAAAAAGACTGGAAGAAACACTGTTTGAAATCACTTATGCTTGTACCAAATTAGTCAATGTTTAAGTCACGTCCTTTCCTAACCAAAAGTCGCCAGACGTCGAATCGATCCTTATTTATAACGCAATCTGCATCATTGTGCTATGAGCACTGTGGCGCCTACGTTAAATTTAATTAGCCAGAGGCCGTACGCGGCGACGCTGCGGTAGTGAAATCGGAGGCTCCTGAGAGCGCCTATATATGTTCCTGACACACGGGATGTCACCGTAGTGTGTTCACCCTAATTTTTGTGCTGAGTAATTAGCGTACTCTTTAGTGTTTCATGAGTAGTTGCAACCGTGTCCCGATATTTATGATGCAAGCGCAGGCATTGTTTACATTTAAATAACTTAGTTTTAGAAAACAAGCCCACGCGTCTAAGAACACAGGATTGGTAACGCATTGTTAAAACACTTCTTATATATTTCGTTAGACATTCTTCTATCCAGGGGCGGAATTACAGTGCCGCCACACCCCGCAATGCGGGGGGCCCACGCCATTTAGGGGCCCATAGCCGACCATAAAAAAAATTTTTGAATCTAAAAGCTTTTGTAAATAACAAACAGATCTACCTCAGTAGTGATGTTATACAGTAGCTAACACATGCTGTTGCGTAAAAAAATATATATGCCTAAGCTGTAGTGTGTAAGATAGGCAAACATTCAAAACACTTCCAATACTTATTTCCCTTTTTTAAATAGTTAAATAGAGGTGCTCATAAGTTCCTTTTTATAAGTTTGCACTAGACAAATAAAAAAGCAATTACTTCTCTTAATGATTATTTTTTTAAAATACTCACTAAAGAATGACATAGCATAAAAAGAAAATATATATAAGACAAATAATATAAATACAAAAAAAAAAAAAAAAAAAAAAACATAACTCCAGAAACCATTACACATACAAAGCTTTTACGTTTTATATTCTTTCTACCGGCTAAAATTAGCGGGTAGGCAGTATTGTCGCAAACATATTAAACAAACTAGTTCTAAATAAGTCTACAATGTGAACTTTTGACTCAACAGCTAAGGACTGAGCACAGTGAAGAGAAACCGAGTTTGCACACTTTATTTTAGTCTAGTCAGTCTAGTCCTATGCCGTTTTATTTTCTCTCTTTGATTATTATATATGCAATTGATGTTCATATCTTTGATGCTGTGTAAAACTATCAAACAAATTAATATTACTGATTTAAATGTTTAAAACTATTGATTAATAAAAAAAAAACAAAAAAAAAACTGTCTGAGGACTGTATAGATATAGATGTTTAAAAGAGAAGAATGTTTGCTTTGATGTGTCTCGTTGTAATAACATAGCTTTTCCGATTGCTTAAAATTTGTATCATTTTAATTCTCTGTAATCACAAATTTATTTCAGCTCTACTTAAAAACCCAAATTCTACCCCCTCCCCCCCCCCCCCGCCCCCTCACCCACCACGCCGAGGGGAAAAAAATCCCTTGAATCATCATTTAATTACACATTTGCATTTTCTTGTTTTTTATTTTTTTTTTAATTTTTTTTTATATTTAGACGTTTTGTATTAGATCTATGTATAAGTAAACCATCTTAAATGAATGAAAGTAGGCTACAAGTAAGAAAGAAATATTACTATTGTAAATCTGAATCAGTCCTCACAAGCCGATGATGAAAACTGTAATACTAAAGCGAACACACAACTGACGCTGTAAATTACATGTCTGAGGCAAAAAAAAAAAAGAAAAAAAAAAACTAGTTCTAAATCTAAAAAAAAAAATAAAAAATAAATTCATCATGACATGTTGTAATTTGTTTAATTTGAAAAAAAAAGACTTGTTGTTTTTTTTTTTTTTTTAAACCCCATCAGGACAGAAATGAGTATCAAATGTTTGTATTCTATTACATATATATATATATATATATATATATATATATATATATATATATATATACTGCTCTACTTCAGTTTGTATTCTATTACATATATATATATATATATATATATATATATATATATATATATATATATATATATATATATATATATATATATATATATATATATATATATATATATATATACTGCTCTACTTCAGCCAGGTCCGATAGGCAACTTTATCATTCATATTTAAAATGTAGACATGACGTGTCTCGAACCCGTACGATAACTATTATACTATCATCTCGGCCAGCTGGGCACTTACAATTATGTGTGCAATTTATTGCCTTCATTTAATTGACATCGTATAATTAAGTTAAAGTACGCGAATATTATTGAAAATTTAATTATATCCTAAGTTAGCCTATTCCATTGTTAAACACAAAAAAAGATGCGTATAAAATAATAAATATCTGAGATTAACGTTGACAGAATATTCTTTTCTAGTAGTTTAATGTCAATATATTTTAAAACTTAACGTTGATGAAACATTGACTTGTTTATCCAAACCCACTCCAATAACAATAAAAAAATAATTGGTTCCAGTTTTAATAAATTAATTGATCATGTGCTCATTTTTTAAAAACATTAAAAAAGTAATTTCAACACGTAAGTTATGAGGTCTTGTTTGGAGATGTTCAGTACCATGATTAAAAAATAATTAACTCACACCTGTGGCACAAGACTGTAAAATGATAGTGCGTACAAGATTACAATAAAATATTAATTACTTCACATGCCAAATGGGGATTTTTTTACGCCTATTGGTAAAAACTTAAACATTAAAATCAGTTCGAAATAATTAATAGCCTTTCATAATAAAAATATCTTTATATCTGTACCAGCGTGCCCGTCCCAGCACGTTACCGCTGGGTTAAAATACTACTTCTTATTCATATTCCATCATAATCTTACTCAGCCTGGGCGCGTTCAGATTAGCCTGGTTCAGTTTAGTGAATGACATCACAATGTTTAAAGCGAACGTATGCGCCATAGCGCTTCCGGAATAGCACGGGATTACAATATGTCGGGCGCCGGCAAATACGTCTGATTCAATTTATTGAATAAATAAACGCCCCATCTTATTCATAGCCTATCCTACTGTTTAATACTACCGTAGGCGCCATACTGCTCTCTGGATAACACAGGGCGCAAAACTATATCGCCGCTGGTGCGAAATTGATCCCCAATAATACTCTCAACAACTTCCTAAGGTTTCATGGCGATCGCATGAAAGTGTAGTAATGAATAAAAGACAGACAAACAGAGAAACAAATATACATACATTTCTTTATATATATATATATATATATATATATATATATATATATATATATATATATATATATATATATATATATATATATATATATATATATATATATATATCTAATAGTAATGTGGCAGTAAGATGTTTAATTTTTTTTTTAACCACAGTCTAGTAATTTTCAGTGACAGTTTACATTTCAAATTTCGCATTAATAATATAGTTTTCACTATCAGCTTTTGAGTGCTGATATTGTGAAATGCGCGTATAACCCCAGCTATTATAACTTTGTAGATTATCACATAAACAAGGTTTTTAACTTTATACATATGAGAATAGATGTCTTTTAATTAAAATAATTTTTATACATATGAGAATAGATGTCTTTTAATTTAAATATTTTGATAATTTTGAAGGTAAAAAAAATCCGCACTATTTGTTTTATTTTTCAATCTCCAATGATGTTAGGACACATTATTTCAAACATAATATTCCAGACAGAAAATCTCAAGGACGACTAATGCTTTCGTGGCAAAAATATTTATATCCATAGTAGAAAATAACGTGTTCTCTTTTAGTCATGTATTTTTTAACGTAACTACTGGTTTATTAAAAATTCTTAAAAATAGGAAGCGACTAATTAAATCTACCAAATTAAATAACACTTCATAGAATATTACTCTAGATTTAATACTTTACAATTTTAAGTCTTGGGCCATATGCGGCCCGCAGGTCGAGCTAGACAGAACATACAAATTATAAATCGGTATGGCCAAGTGATAACCACGTCATTTGTCTCTGCGCTGTGTGACTACATCCATGGGGACTCTGAAAATGTTTGCTGGAGCTTTTGTTCTCTATTTCTTTCTGGGTTCTGGTACGTTGTTCAACTTTTTGAAATAGTTAAAATAATAAAATAAATATTAATCGCGAAAACTGGTCATAAATCTTAAACGTGTGCACAAATGCAAAGCAATCTAATCGTTCAGAGATGTATGTTGTTTTATACATCAACCATTTAATATATATTTACGTTTAATATGGTAAAATACAAGACCGCTAACGCGATGGTCTCAGGTTCGAACCCGCAGTTCGTGTCCGTAGAACACACTAAGTCCTGGAAAGTTGCGGCTGGGCATAGCGCTGACCACATTATCCTTTCATAAACCTAGGTCAGCAAAACGGGTGAACTCTACATCTCCTGCCAAACTGACAGATTTAAAGCATATTTTACTTCACGTTTACTAGACACTCTTGGTTGATAGATTAACTTTAATTAGAACTTGAAAAAGTTGTGACCAATAAGCAAATGTGTTGCGATAGTATCGATTAAAAACTCTGCTGTAAGTATCTATATATATAATTCTCTACGTGGGACCATGAGGGGCACCACCACCACGTACACACGCTGACACGCCCTTACCTCGCTCTCCTGGCATAAGCAAAAGACCATATCGCTACAACCGCCAGCCCCACCAATATGGTGAGCTGTGGTTCACCCCGAATGTTTACAGTCGTTGAGCCGGATCGAAATAGCGACGGCTGTTAGGGGCAGATTATTTAGTTTTTAAACTATTTGAAACTAAGGGGAGGTAACAATTTATGCTTGATCTTTTCATTGTCGTTTATGAACTGTTGTCACGGGCGGCTGCTTTCATGGAGCGGGGGGGGGGGGGGGGGGGAGCGGGAGAGAGAGAGAGAGGAATGGTGAGAATAATCGTCCTGACAGTGTTTTAAATCAGAATATTTTCAGTCGCGGCATTGGTAGTGTCGAATTCACAAATTATGAATAACTGAAATGTAGAAAATAAAATAACTAAATACGCTGCGGGTCGTCTCGTGCACTTTAAAACATATCTATTACATATGTAGGTGTGTTTGCCACAGACGAAACAAGCTTGATAGACATTATAATCAAACTTCAAGCTATGCAAGGAACTATAAATGAAAACCGAAAAAAGCTTCAGACAATCCCAAGCACACTTGAAGATCTGAAAGAAACGGTACAAGATATTCAAAGCAAGCTTAAGACAATCCCAAGCAAACTTGAAGATCTGAAAGAAACTGCACAAGAGAATCAAAACAACCTTCAGGCAATCCCAAGCAAATTTGAAGACAATAATATCCAGCTCAAAACTATAGAAGGAACTGTACAAGATAATCAAAACAGACTCCTGGCTATTCCAAACAAATTGCAAACGCTTCAAGAAACTGTACAAGAAAATAAAAAGCTACTACATGTGTTGGAGGTAAATTTAATTAATTTTAGTTTAATCATTTTCTACTTTGCTGTTCTTAATTGTAACGTTGCTATTTCTTCAAACAAAAATATAAGGATTTTGCGTCAACATTTTATGCGCCATAGGGCGCCTACATTTTCTGTCTGGATTTTCTACCATGGCCTATGTTCTCCAGTGAAAAACCTACAATGCAATAGTTATTTTATTGTAGGGTTTTTTTCCATAAATAAACTGCTGTACACAGCTATTGAACCTTTTCTGTCCGGGGGTTTGAACTCGAAAGATTTCGGTTCAGTAACCATGAGATTTACTGGCCCGACCAATATCTGTTTTATGTGCCCAAAGCACTTGGGATAGATAAAGTAGAGCATCCTCAGGATAAAGTGGGACGACAAAGTCCCGAACAAGGAAATATGGCGAAGGACAGGATTAAACGACATTGTCTCAGAAGTTAGAACGAGGAGATGGAGATGGCTGGGCCATGTCCTACGCATGAGCAAAAAAAAGACTCCCCAACATGGCGCTGAAGTGGAACCCACCCGGAAAGAGAAGTAGAGGAAGACCACTGGGAACATGGAGGAGGGAGATGGAAGAAGAAGTACAGGCTACTGGCAAAACCTGGCATGAACTAAAGTGGCTCGCCCAGGACAGGGTGGAATTGCGGAGATTTGTTGTTGCCCTATACTCCACAGGGAGTGATGAGGATTAAGTAAGTAAAGTAACCATGAGATTTACTGGCCCGACCAACATCATCTTTTTTTATGTGCCCAAAGCATATGGGACAGATGAAGTAGAGCTCATCTGTTTCAATTACCTAAGACTGCTAATGGATATTGTGGTTAGCACTACGCCCAGCCGACTTTTTTTTTACCTAACATGAGTTAGGTGCCCATCAGAGCTGGATGGACTCACGGTCGTTCTACTGATGTCGGGTTAGCAGGCTGGCTCTCTACCACTAGGCCAAGCCGTCTTGTACAGGCCCGACAATTCCAACCCAAAATGTGTAATCAATCGATTGAAGTTTGTCTAGTCTTGTAATCTAGAAGTATAACCCTCGTTTGTTATCTACTAATTTAATTTGTTTTCCGAATACCGTCCATAGACAAGGCGTTTCATGTATAAACTAGGTGGTCTGCTACACTGTGAGAGGCGACACAACCTTTCGAAACCCCCAGGTAAAGCACCTGGTGTATAGCCTATACTGATAGAAGAGACCCCACCTTCCTCACATGAACAGACCACCTGTTGTATAGCCTATACTGATAGAAGAGACCCCCTCCCTCCACTCATGAACAGAACACCTGGTGTATAGCCTATACTGATAGAAGAGACCCCATATCCTCCACTCATGAACAGACCACCTGGTGTATAGCCTATACTGATAGAAGAGACCCCCTCCCTCCACTCATGAACAGACCACCTGGTGTATAGCCTATACTGACAGAAGAGACCCCATATCCTCCACTCATGAACAGACCACCTGGTGTATAGCATATACTGGGAGAAGAGGAAGAACCATCTATGCATATAATTCTCTTCTTGGAGACGCTAGAAAACAAGCTGTAAGCGCGCTCCCTACCACTCCACCCCTACATGGTCTGGTGAGCTGTGGTTCACGCTAAATGTTTACAATCGTGGAGCCGAGTTTAGTTTGAAACGATTTTAAACTTAGCGTAGATAACTAAGAGGAGGTTGCTTTCAAGGGGGGGGGGGGGGGTAGGGTAGGGGTTCGGGGAAAGGAGGGTTCTGGTAGTATCGTTCTTAACGACCTACTGATAGTGTTTTAAAGCAAATATTTTCAGTGGCAGTATTGGTACTGTCAAATTCACAAATTATGAATTACTGAAAAGTAGAAAATAAAACAACTAAATAGCGGCGTATGATACGCCGCGTGTCGGCTCGTATGAGATACCAAAAGAATAGACCACGTGGTGTAATACAATTGGAAAGGGTCAAGCAGCCTATTCCAGCCAGTTATGAGCATAAAAAAACCGAGAGGTTAATATAAATGTGTTTTTATGTTTAATTATTGTGACCTAAATACACCATTTCTGAAATGCAAAACACGTTGATTTAGTAAATGCTGTAGGGAAGGCATTCGCATTATTATCATTACTAAATGCACGACTCTTATTGTTATACATTATGTAATAATTCAAAATAAAAGATTCTACTTTCGCAAAACTTACAAAACTTATATTATCGAAAAAGTATTAAATCATCTGAAAAGTTAGAATAATGCAAAATAAAAAATAAACGTTATAGACTAGTTTCAATTTTCGTTGTCTGTTAATGTATTTTATTGTCGCAGGAACTTATAATCAATTCAAACGCAACGTCTCAACGTTCGTGCTAAAAAGTATTTCTAAAGTGGAGATGCTCCTCACAAAATCACTAAATTCCAGTTTTTTCGTCATAATAGGGTTCTTGCACTTTTGGATACTTTGTTCATTTTTGTACTTAAATAAAAAGAAACGTCGTTTAAAATACAGTTTTTAATGATAATTTATAATAAAAAAAACAAGAAATTTAAAATCTTACAAGTTCTCTGCGAAAAGTTTAATATCCGACAATATATTATATTGGGCCTCATGGAAAAGATGGATTTCTCACATATTTGATAATCATATGTTCCATCATTTCAGCAACACACTTATCTTAAAATTGGACAGATCTGGTACTTTCGTGACACTTTTCGTTACTTACTGTTGTTTTTCTCAATTCGCATTTTTTTAACACTAAAAAACCTACTATTTTTTTTTATTCAACAATTCTAATTATATTTTTAGTAACTGTTCGTCATGCAAAAATAAAATTTTTGTCACAGGGGAATTGCAATTGCTTTCATGGATATATATATATATATATATATATATATATATATATATATATATATATATATATATATATATATATACATATATATATATATATATACATATATATATATATATATATATATATATATATATATATATATATATATATATATATATATATATATATATATATATATATATTTATTTATTTATTTATTTATTTATTTATTTATTTATTTACTTATTAATATATATATATATATATATATATATATATATATATATATATATATATATATATATATATATATATATATATATATATACATTGTCTTATTCTATTTCAGATACTATTACGCATTCCAATCGAAACTTGTAAAATTGATATGAACAGAACTCTATTTACAAAATACTACACGATCTATGGTGAAAAACTGGCTTTGTGTGATACAGAAACTGACGGTGGAGGATGGATTGTTATTCAGGTTTAGTTTTTTAGAATTTTTTAATATACTACATAAATGACCCGTTGAGGGAGAAATACAGTAACCAATCCAAAATAATCACAACTTCAAATTTAACCGGAAACGAAAAAATGTCATTGAAAAAGGATTATTATCCAGAATTGGCATTTTACTGAATTTAACCTTGACCTACAGATGGCTACTGCACTTTGATACTAAATATAGTCGGGAGTCATACCCCTAAGCCTAGCACTTTATCTCAAACCTGAAATAAATTGCTTTTAGAGTTTCTTTCAGGCAACTCTTTGGGGAGAAGTGGTGAGGGGCTCAGCTACCAGAAGAAGGTCTACCGCCCCCAATAACGAAATAGAAAAAAATCTGAAAGAAACTTTGGTCGCATTTGTAGATTATACAGTCTACATGTGCTTCTATAATCTAGACCCGTTTCCTACCTTTGGCTACTAAATAAAAACGATATGGAGAGTGTTTCTGTCAGACACTTTTTTGGGGGGAGGAGGGAGGGCCGGAGTTAATTCTCCAAGGAGGGGGGTGAAATTGGTAAAAGACATATTTTTTTTACATAAATCGTATTTTGATCGGGAATAGGAGGGGGGAGGAGAGGGGGCAAGCGGTAGAGGTTATTCAGCGGAAGGAAAGGGAAATTTTAATTTGAAACACTAGTGTGCCCGTCCCGCGCGTTGTCGCGTCCTCAAAAGAAAGTCTGAAACAAAATTTTAAGATGGTTTCAGTAATGCGTTACCAATCCTATAGTCTTAAAAATGTTTCTATTGCGAAAATGATTGACAGTTTTCAAATTCTGAAACTTGTTTTTAAAGATCTTTGATAGAGCAATGTACATATAAAATTTATCTACAGCACTGAAACTGTACAAAGTTGATTAAAGTACTACATTAGGGTATCAGAAATCAAATTTTAATTATATGTTATAATTACATGTGGTATCTTTACTTAATATAAATCACACATCCCTTTGGAAAAAAATGTAAAACCTGTAAGTACACATTTTGGTTAACGGAACTCGATCAAAATCAAATCAAAAACAAAAAACTCAATTATATTATCTAAAGTTTATACACACATTTCGTCTATAGAACCTACATGGCCTTCTGATGAACTTAAGGACGCTGAATCTAGCGTTCATGACACGACACATCCTTTAAAAATAAACTGAAGTCATTGCACACATGTTGATAGAAAAGTGGAAATACATACATTTTATTGCACAGATTTTACATTTCAGAGACGCATAAAGGGAGACGTTTTATTTAATAGAACCTGGGAAGAATATAAGCAAGGATTTGGTTCCGTCGAAGGGGACTTTTGGATAGGAAATGACAAAATCTCAAGTTTGACTATGATTGTGAGTATGTCATCAAATGTTGGTGAGGCTCCATCAACAGTATTCGACACAAAACCATGGACACCGTTGTTTGTCGGTGCCATCCAACATCTAGGACAGGGGTCGGCAACCTGCGGCTCGCGAGCCGCATGCGGCTCTTTTGATATGAAGATGCGGCTCTCCAGCTCCTTGCACAAATACTAATAATCTTAATAAAAAAATAAAATATTTGAAATAAAAAAAATGTTAGTGGCTCTTTAAAACCAGGGAAATTTTGAAAATTGTAAATTTTGGCTCTTCCGCTTCAAAAGGTTGCCGACCCCTGATCTAGGATCTATGAAACATAAATTTGAAACCTTTATAATAACATATTTTTTAATTCATTCATAAAACAAACTTGCTTTCCCAGGGGTCGGCAACCTTTTGAAGCGGAAGAGCCAAAAGTTACAATTTTCAAAATCTCCCTGGTTTTAAAGAGCCGCTAACATTTTTAGCGCAATTTCCATTCTGGAGAATTGCGTTTATTAACTCGTCTTTTCTGGGAATGGATGGATGTGTGTCCGCAGCTTTAAGTCGTATCTCCTCCTCGACGAAGCAAACTCGAGGACTAGTTCCAAAAGCAAATATGTTAAGCAAGTTCCGAGGATGATTGTGGGCCAAAAAAATTCACGGAATTCCTTCCTAGATTTCCCGGAAAAGCCAAAAAAAAAAAACTCGAAAAAATGCAGTTTTTGGCCCATATCTCGGCAACCAGACCACTTAGCGACTTGAAACATTTACCAGTCGATTCCTGTCATAATTTAGAACAAAATTGCCGAAGAAAGTTTTCAAAAATATCCTTTTGTTCGGTCACAATTTTTTTTTTATAATTACATAAACACCTACCAACCGATCGTTCTCATAGCTTGAACGCACCCCAGCATTATACGTCTTGTGTTTTGTCCCCGTGTGTGCTTTACGCTACGACAGAGCTATTTTTAGATAACATAAGGAAATTGCGCTTAAATTGTCACTAGACTTTTTAATAACTTGTTTTATTTCAAATATTTTATTTTTTTATTAAGATTATTAGTATTTGTTCAAGGAGCTGGAGAGCCGCATCTTGATATCAAAAGAGCCGCATGCGGCTCGCGAGCCGCAGGTTGCCGACCCCTGTGCTTTCCTAAATAAAATGTGTCATCGCTCACAAGATATCTTACTTATTTAAGCGACTATATGTTTTCATTAAAATACAGCAAATTAAATTTATTTTCTTATTTTTATTGCATTTGAAAGCTTGTTATTATAAAGGTTTTTATATTGTTTTAATTTCCATTTAATTTTAAGTAATCCGTTCTAAATTAACTTTGCAATATATCTATATAAGTTACAATAAAAACTATCTGCGTTAAAATCTGACTGGCAATCTCTAAAAGACTTTTTTATGCCCATCTACTTGATCAAAAAGAAATCAGCACGATCACTGGTATTTAATAGTTTTAACTCCCTTTTATTATTCAACATAGTATTTATAAATTAAATGTTAACTAACGTCCACTTAAATTATCATAGAAGAAGAATATACAAGGATAAGTGGAAGCAATCGCTGTACTAAACGTGGGTCAAAATTTAGTTACATTATCTGCACAAACCCACAAACAAACGCACTTTGTGAACTAAGGAAAATTCGGTAATAACAAAAGAACACTTAAACATTTTTTGATATCTTTGTCTGACGTTGTAATAATCTTTTTAAATTCCGGCTAACAAAGAAAATACAGCTCAGATTGAGCTTAGCACTCGAGATGCCGGACTTTTCAATGACGGTATATCTCTCATCAAACCTTCTGACTAAATTAAAATATTTGTATTTAAGATATAAATAAACCGGAAGTGATCTCCTCTAAACTTTCTCGAATCTTCTCATATAACACTACGGACAATGGCAACTCGGGTTATAGACATGATTTTTAATCTATTTTTAATTACTTAAACATTTTAAAATAGAATAGAATCTCGTAGAAAAAAGAATTGCGCACCAAGTGAACTGCAAATAATATGTGTATAATAGTGCGGAATATTATTAGTACTTTACAAATTCACATCCTTAATTTTGAGAAAACGGAAATAGAGTAAATTACTACTTAAATTACTGCTTTTTGCATGTTCAGTTAATGGATAATTTGCTTAAAAGTCTTATTGACACATAGTCCCAAAATAAATATTTATATATATATATGTATATATGTATATATATATATATATATATATATATATATATATATATATATATATATATATATATATATATATACTTTTTTCCCCCTTGGGTGTGTAGCAGGAACGGGGGGGGGGGGTGACACTATGAAGTGTCGCACCGGGTGACACCCGATCTCGTGACGCCACTTGGTCTATCTTAGAATGAACCAGAATTATAATGAACATTTTTTTCTTTTTTTTTTAATATGGATGGTCTATCCGAGAATGGGCCAGAAAACATAATATAATTATTTTAAAATACAATATTACTCAATATTATTGTAATAGTAAACCCATAATGACAAAATGATCAAGTTTGTACTCGTTAATATTATGTAATAAAAATACTCAATGAACGGTTTTACAGGGCTACAATGAACTTAGGTTTGACATGAAATATAAAGGTGCATCCTACTACATGGTATACAGTAATGTGAAGGTGGGAAATGAAGCAGATTTGTATAGGTTAAAGTTTACATACAAGACAGGCAACACTACAGACAACTTGAGTTATCACAATGGAATGGCTTTTTCCACATTTGATAAAGACAATGATGGAGAAGCTGGAGGCAGCTGCGCCCTGGCATTTAAGAGCGGCTGGTGGTTTAACAGATGCCATCTTGTGAACATGAACGGCGTGTGGGCATGTAAAGCCAATGCTGAAGGAATTAACTGGATAGCTATAACACAATATATAGATTCTCTGGAATACATCGAGATGAAACTACGTCGACTTTGAACTTTAAAGATTAAACCTAACAGCTCTCTTCACATATGTGGCATTTCTTTACTAAAGTTTGAAAATCGAAAGAAATGTTACCTAATTGTATTCCTTCTATGTTTTAAGAGCATTAAAAGCTGATCAACGAGTCTTGTTGTCTAAGCTTTTTTTTTTTAATTTTATGTCGAGATAAATGAATGAGATTTGATAAATTGATAGATGGAAACAAAAATACTTACCATTAAACCTGATTACTTTTCTGAAGTAAAAAAAAAGTCTGTTTAGTTATAAAAACAAAGTAGTTTCAAATGTTTCAGGTTTACTTTCCCGTGATGCAAACAAATCTTCAAAGGGAGGTAAGAAAAATAGTTACTAGTATTTGAAGTGTGCCTACTTTTGGTAAATATTAATTTTAGTTTGGTGTATCGCTAATTTCGAAAAGGAAAAGTTCGAAGAGCACAAAATATATGCAACATATAAAATACGACACAATTAGTGTTAACATAACTTTTTTCTTTCTTTTTACGCCTAAAATTTAAAAACTTTTTTTTAAATTTGAAAACCAGTCAATATAAATGCTATTTCCCTGAAGAAATTTGCACTTGATTTTATTACAATAATTTCGATTTAAAATCACCGGTTTGACTTTCAACATTAACCTTTATAGCTAGTGGCACATAATATTAAATACGCGACGTTGCAATTCAATTTCAAACAATTTTAACGACTTTTACTATACTATTTTGCTGAATTCAATTTTTCACTGATTTCTTGGTAATGATTTCTCTTTCCATGTTAACTGCTCTACACTCACACAAAAAATTTAATCGATTCGAGGATCAATCAAAAAACACAATTTCTGCTCGAGGTTATGATAATCAACTTGATTAATTAAATCGCAATCAATATTTGAAGACTTACGTTTTCATTGAAAAACGTCGGTTGAGATATAACAGTTTACAAACAGGTACAATCGTTTAAAAAGAAGCGACACTGATCTACTTTCACAAATACCTGTATTAATTTGCCGATTTTCTTATTGATTTCGTCAGTAATCGTTGTTTATTTTCATTTTCCGTTCGAGAAATAAAATATGTAGCAATTTTGTAGAGAAACTGCGATCAAGTTCTAGTTTAGTGCGAGTTTTGTACTTTAACAAGATGTAGGGAACTATTTGCTCTTTAACATTAAAACTGACGGGTCGAATATGATTTATTCTAATCAGTCATTGAGGTAAAGCCCATAGTTGTATTACACCACATCGCTCTCACACATAGGTGTACATCAAGTGACCAGAGATTTTTTTTTTTGTACGTTTTGAGTAAATTCACAAGACAATAGATGCAATAAAACAGGGTAGGGTAAATCCAGGAATATAGGGTCCGGTAGATGCAATAAAACGGTCTGGTAAATCCAGGAATATAGGGTCCGGTAGATGCAATGAAACAGGGTTCGGTAAATCCAAGAATATAGGGTCCGGTAGATGCAATGAAACAGGGTCAGGTAAATCCAAGAATATAGGGTCTGGTAGATGCAATAAAACGGTCTGGTAAATCCAGGAATATAGGGTCCGGTAGATGCAATAAAACAGGGTCAGGTAAATCCAAGAATATAGGGTCTGGTAGATGCAATAAAACAGGGTATGGTAAATCCAAGAATATAGGGTCTGGTAGATGCAATAAAACAGGGTATGGTAAATCCAAGAATATAGGGTCTGGTAGATGCAATAAAACAGGGTCCGGTAAATCCAAGAATATAGGGTTTGATTAGCATTGTTATTTAACATCTCGATCTGCAATGTTTTGTAAACAAAAAAACTATAAAGTAGGGCCGTCAGAAATCGATCACGAGTACAGCCAATTAATGTTTGCCTTACGAAAGTGAAACATCGGGTTATAACTTAGGCTTGATGAAAATAAATAGAAATGTAGCCTTAAACTCAACATATTATTGCCAAGTTCTCTGGATCTGCAACTTGTATAGCATTGATTCTAAAAATATTAAATTTCTGAATTAATTTTAGGCTTAAATTTTTAATAAAATTTTATCTTTTATGTTTACGTCCTAAATCTAAAAAACCGTTAAAAACCCAAAAAAAAAACCAGGAGGCCCCAGTGACAATAGACGGAGGACAGGTAAATGATGTTCAAGAGTTTGTCTACCTTGGCAGCAAGATCAGCAAAACGGGAGGCACAGAGGAGGACATACGTGCTAGAGTTAATAAAGCCCGCTGCGCGTTCACAGTCCTGCGACCTATATGGAAAATTTCTCCATTACGACAAAAATTAGGATATTTAACTCTAATGTCAAGGCAGTTCTGTTGTATGGAGCTGAGACATGGAGAGTCTCCAAAGCAAGCACAGCAAAGATACAGACCTTCATGAACAGATTCCTTAGACAGATATTGAAATTAAGATGGCAGGACAAAGTGCCGAACATAGAAGTATGGAGGAAAGCTAGGCAGGAGCCTATGGGTGTACAAATAAGAAGGAGGAAGTGGCGCTGGGTGGGTCACACACTGCGAAAGGCTAACCCAAATATTACACGCCAAGCGCTTGAGTGGAACCCCCAGGGAAAGCGAAAAAGAGGGCGCCCAAGACAGACCTGGAGGCGGAGTCTTCTTGAAGAACTGAAGCCAACGGGGATGTCTTGGGAGATGACAAAATTAATAGCCGGGGATAGGAAGAAATGGAAGGAAATGGTGGAGGCCCTATGTTCCATAAGGAGCAAAGAGGACTAAGTCAAGTAAGTCAAATCTAAAAAAGCACATTTTTATTCCATGTCAATAACATTACGGATGGATTTTCGTCAACTCACTGCCCCCCCCCAACCCCCGTAAATGTGCCTGAAAGAAACCTGTACCCAGCTCTAAGGAAGGATACACTACAAATATAAACTGTATGACATGCTGTATAGCATTTATTGCTAAAACCTGCTCGATATCGCTATAGTTTCCTACAGTGCCAAGCTTCGTCTACCTGTAGGACAGGAGTCTAACCAGTGGCGTAGCTAGGGGAGGGCGGGTGGAAGGTTGCCCGGGCGCCTCCGAGTCAAACACAGCTCTTTGTATGGCTGTGTATGTCTGTGGCTGACTGTGTATGACTGTGTATGACCGTGTATGACTGTGTATGACCGTGTATGACTGTGTATGACCGTGTATGACTGTGTATGACCGTGTAAGACTGTGTATGATCGTGTATGAATGTGTATGACCGTGTATGAATGTGTATGACTGTGTATAACTGTGTATGACTGTGTATGACTGTGTATGACTGTGTATGAATGTGTATGACCGTGTATGAATGTGTATGACCGTGTAAGACTGTGTATGATCGTGTATGAATGTGTATGACCGTGTATGAATGTGTATGACTGTGTATAACTGTGTATGACTGTGTATGACTGTGTATGACTGTGTATGACAGTGGATGTCTGTGTATTACTGTATTTATGGGATTAAAATCGTGTTACAGAGAAATAAAAATACACATAACATTGGGGGTTTTAAAATTCTTTAATGTATAGTTTTATTAGTTTACAAAATCGTAAATGGATCTTAGCTTTCTTACGTGCCCACAATATTTGGTATAACAAGTTGACAGGTAATATTTTATTGTGTTGGAGGAAATACCATCAAATATGACAATTAAGAACAAAAAAGAAGTCGACATATAAGGTAGAATAAACTATTGCCATGGTGTCATACGTAAACATTACACATTTATTTTGCACTTCTACGATCCTCAAGTCACTTAATACTATTTATAGAACCTGACCCAGTGACACACATTTAACAAACAATGTTAAAGTTAACATAATTTTTTTTTGTGAAGCTTGACTGAATACATCCATATAAGTGGTTGTAAGGGAGGTAATCTTACCGGCAGTCACTGGGTGACCTATTTATTGAACAAGAAATTTCATTGTAATATGTTGACTCAGATAGTTATTTCTGTTCTCCTGCATGTCGTAATTATTTATCAAATTTTATTTTATATATATATAAATAGCTACATGATGTAGATTTTTTTTTAAAGTAGTCACCATTGTGGATCGTGAGATCAATGGGGAAAGGAATGTAAATTCAGATGTTCTTCAAAGCATCTCTGGGGGACGTCTACCCTCCCCCGGAACGAAATGAAATTTACATGCAAAATATATACTTTTATCAATGTTCACCCCCCCCCCCCCCCCCCAAGTGGGTTTACCCCACCCCCCCCCCCCCCCGAGAAAAACGTCTGCAAGAAACACTGTGTATTTTTCACTTGTATCTGTAATTTTGTTATTTGAAAGGATAATGTGGTCAGCACTAAGGCCAGCTTATTGGATGGCGTGGCCTAGAGGTAAAGATCTAGACTGCTGACCCGAAAGTCTCGAGCTCGAATCCGGGTTCAATTCCGTGGAGCGTCCTTGAGGCAGCTCATCTCTGACTCACGTTAGAAATAGTAAATGCGGTCGGACATAGTGCTGATCACATTATCCCTTCTTATGTCAAGGTCATGAAACACGTAAAACATATCAACTCTACTTCATCTGTCCAAATAAATCGCTAGGTCTAATCTGTCGCCTCCATTATGTTGACAACAAAGCTAGACCATTCCTATAAATCTTAACAGCACATAACAGCAATTGTCACAAAATTACGGATCATCGCTATCTTACATTTTAAGAATGATAAGTACATTTACATAAATACTAATTCAAGTAGACTCCATTCTTGGTGATAAGCAGTACTTCATTAGGGTAGCAAGTACTAAGCAAAATCTAGTACATTGTAAAATTGAGTCCTAGATTTGTCAAAGTATGTAGACATTTTTAAAACATTTTTTCCTACGTAAGGTGTAAGTTATTATTTTTACGTGATTGAAATGAAAAGATAAATTATGTGTCATTTTTTTGGAGAAAACGTGTAGAATTATTTAAACAATGTCATATTATTAAAAATTTAAAAAAAAAGCAATTAATAATAAAATGTAGTATTCTAATTACACAAACTGTGCTAATTTTTGCATGATCGTAATGAAGTTTATTTTTTGCAACTAATATTTAATAAAAAATATTTGTGTTTAAAGTCATTGTACTATACATATTAAATAGAATGTTTTGTTTTTAATTGGCGATTAAAGTCAAAGGGAAGCCATCGATGAA